CACCTAAAATAGGAATCAAGTCCATAACTCTACCCTTTGGTTCAGTGTCCTGGCCATAACTCTACCCTTTGGTTCAGTGTCCTGGCCATAACTCTACCCTTTGGTTCAGTGTCCTGGCCATAACTCTACCCTTTGGTTCAGTGTACTGGCCATAACTCTACCCTTTGGTTCAGTGTACTGGCCATAACTCTACCCTTTGGTTCAGTGTACTGGCCATAACTCTACCCTTTGGTTCAGTGTACTGGCCATAACTCTACCCTTTGGTTCAGTGTACTGGCCATAACTCTACCCTTTGGTTCAGTGTACTGGCCATAACTCTACCCTTTGGTTCAGTGTACTGGCCATAACTCTACCCTTTGGTTCAGTGTACTGGCCATAACTCTACCCTTTGGTTCAGTGTACTGGCAATAACTCTACCAAAGAATGTGTTGTTACCCACCAAGGTCATATCATTAATTAAGGTCAAGGTCATAGACCTTGGACACCTTAGATAGGGGTCGGGTCCTAATTCTACCTTTTGACATTACATATTGATACCATACTAAACAAAACCTGCTCATGACCAAAGGCTGTGCTATGACCTTCAATCCAAGGTCATATCTCTAAGGTCATCATCGACATGTAGCATGGACGTGTAAAGGGATGTATCAGCCATAAATATGGACAGTTTAAATTAATTATTAACCTGGATTACAAAAAAGCCCCAGGATTACAACTCATTCAGCTGAGAAAGGCTTCACTAAGACTGGGTCTTATCATGCTTCATAGTATTGTCGCCCATCATCTAAGGTGTGTCATGACCTTCGACATCTGAAGTAGATAATTGGCCATATACACGGTACCACAGTTACAGAGTGTGAGTGAAATATGCTTCATTTCACCAGTGCCTACATTTGTACTTTTAAAGATAACGCAGATGCTAGTCCCCTAAAAGAAGATTATTGAATTAGGTTTACACAAGTCCTCTTATTGTATATAGCATTTACTGGGTTCTACATTTTTATACATAATGGTTTAAAAGATATCAATAAAATCCATTCATCTTTGTTGATAGCTTGTATTATATTATGCACTCTTGAAAAGAATGTATGAAATAGAAAATTGCTCAAGAAATATATAGTGGTTGTAGATGTTGTATATTATATTTGTAATACACATTTTTAGCCATATGCTGTTTTTGCTTAAATCCAGTATAACTATATATATATATTTGTTGTTGCTTGAATGAATTATTTGAAATAAAAACCATACAATGCTGAAATAATAGTTGGTCCAAAAAGGTCTCAAAACTCCTTATTTCTAATCAAGAGCTGCCGATGTAAGATAGACTGTTTCATTACAAAACATGCATGTGTTCCATTGCTATACATGACTGTATAAAATAGTTCATAAATATGGAGCTAAACCCATACCATAAAGGAATAGTTCTGGTACATTTATTTTTGTCCTAGAAATGTATTTTCAAAGCCTTGTTCAAAGTATTCCTGCTGAATCAGTGGTGTTGGAGTCACTTTGTGTGTATTGGTCGAGGTATGATATTGAATTAAGAACTGGACGTGCTGTATGTAACCTTCTCTACAACCTTCTCTACTGGCCTGTCAGCTTAAGGTGTTAATGAACGGTGTGACTGGCTTATCAGCCTGTCACCGACATTTAACATGTAACAACAACAGTAGCAGGGTTATTGACACTTTACCAAATGTTCTCCCACTTGGATAATAGGTTGAATGTACTGCTGAGGTCTCTCATGGTCATTTAATTACATCTCGTTCACAGAGTAGACTTGATATTCCCATGTATATATGGTAATCCACTTGTGTATGGGTGATATTTGGTTTGATATTGAGGACATTTCAATTTTCAAAATGCTCCAATAATTAATTATTTTATTTATGTTCACTGAATATGTGTGGGAAATTGAAACAAAATGGAATGTTGTGCTTACATTGTTTCAGTTGGGCACATTAAGGTCAATTCTTGGTATAATCATATACTTTACAGATACAGTACATGCTGTTGATTTATTATGACTTCACTTTATGTCATTTCCCTCTTTCATAATATCACATTTTCTTGAAACACTGTTTTCCCTACGATCCAATCTTTGTTATATAAATAAATTCTGTTGCATGTTATCTCCATTGAGGTGACCTGCACTTGACTTCACCCCATTTTGACAATCACCATATTTACTTCTGCTTGTGCTAGGTTCAAATGCCTGGTTATTTTTGTCACACCTAGACCTGAGCATGTTTTGTAAACGATGTTACACTATGACTGGTAAATTATCCTAACTAGCTTACAATTAAAAAACTCTGACCAGCAAAGGTTCACGAACAGTCAAGTTATTATTTCAGCTTTCCCAAATGTCATATGACAGATTTAATTACGAAAAAGTTTGAACACACATTGTTGTGAATGAGACCTGCAACAATTGGTTTCCAGGATCGTTACAGGACTTATTTTGGTTAAATAATTATTCCATTTTCAAATCATCTTACATGAGAAGGTGTTGTCTTAAAAACCAACTATCCCGAAGTGACCCTGCACGCTGTGATGTAGGATACTTCTGTTGCTGTCTAATGCTTTATGGATGTATTTTAGAGAAATAAAAGATATCAATTACATACATCAATTTTGCATTATTTTGTGTGATAGTTAAGATAAATGGAAAGTGAAGTGTGTTTTATGTCTCAGATTTATTATCACATGTTCTGATGTCGTAGTCAACAGATCAATAAATTCAGGTGAGTTCAGGTTATGTATTGAATGAAACGTTTCATGTCAAACAACATCTTGAAAACATGTTTCAAAATGCTGTTGATGAAGTGATTACTTTTTTTAATTTCCTTTTTTGTTTAAATTATGGTGATGAAAATAGGGTTTAGTTCAGATTAAGAGACTGGACTCATTCTCATATTAACAATTTTTGCATCAGCCAATGAAATTATGTCATTGAGGTCACATGATGATCAGTGCTATGTAACTTGGCTAATAGGTATACTGTGTAGACAAAACATTTTTGAAATTGCAAGTGAGAAAGATTTTATAGGAAAACTATCTGACCGATGAGGATAAAGACGATGTTTACTGAAAGGACAAATATTTGAAATAATTCAGTACAATTTTAAAGTAAGATTGTAGGTTCAGATGTTCTGTTTGAATCAAGGGGTTGGTCCTGTGTAACCGATACCTCTTATTTTATGAACGACAATGCAGGCCTTGTTGATAGATTTCGTCTGACATTTTTTAAATGTTATAAATAAAAATGATTTATTTACATACACCACATATGATTGATCAGGAACTAAGTTAAGTGACTTGTATTAAATCAAAAGTATGGGTTAAAGTGTGCTTCACCTGATTTCAGTCATGTTTTCCTTTGACAAGAAATATGTGATATAAAGAGGATGAACTGTACATCAGATATTTGATAATCAAATAATGTTGAACTGTGAAGGAATGAAATCAGACACATCTAGTTTTGCAAATTTTATAAATGGTTTTAATATGTTCCTGTAAGAGAAGGTATTTTATTTAGTATGACAAATCATCTAAAATTGATAGTTACTAGATGTTCAAACATTTGCAAAACTGATGTAAAGTGAAATTAAAATATTTTCAATGTAACTCCTGTATACAATATACAACATTTTGAATATATATGAATGGTTTGGTAAGAATTCCAGGCTGACTTCATAGCCTTGGAGTTATATACAGGTTTTATAGGTTGGTGTTGTGAAAGACTTGCTATAGGTTGGAGTTGTAAAAGACTTGCTATAGGTTAAAGGGGAAATGGTGGGGTTGTTAGCCAAGCAGTGATGGGATTTGGACAGGACAAAGAGGCGAAACAGTTGGCAACCCCATACAGGTAAATCATGTAGGTGACATACGATCTGTAACACATTGGTAGATAATTGTATACTGTACTCGCATACAAACTATCTAAATAAACTTTGTATGTAAAGGTTGTCACCTGGCTGTATCAGTTATAACAGACTGGTTGTTTGATCTATTTGTATCACTTATTCCACTGCTTAGCAGTAACTAGTCACTAAAATACATGTACTTTGTTTAATTTAATATACCTTTTGCTTAAAATATCAGTCACATATTTATTTCAAATGCATTGGCCTTTTGTGGAAAAGTCTGATTTTTGAGTGAAAAATTAGTATGTGGTATATTTTATTCTGGTATTAATCTAGTATGAAATTTATCAAAGTTCATTTGATCAATTAATATACTATATATAGTTACATCTAATGTATTTTTTCACTGACTAAAAACTGGCAAAATTTCATACAAGTGTAATGCTTGTGTAAGATTTTCCCGTTTTTAACACCAAAAATCTGTGTAATCCCCACATTCTTCAAGACTTGAGGAAAATCTAGTCATGAAGAAGCTAGTAAATAGCTGTTCTGGAAGTATATGAATACCAAAACCTGTCTTTGTAGCATTTGTATAAGATATGTTGTCTAATTTGTGTTGAGATGTGTCTGTCCTGTCAGAGTCGAAATGCTTGTAGGTCTGTTAACACTTGTTCTGGTGCTGTCACAGCTGTATTTATTTCCTTGACTGTATTCAATATGAATTCAAGTATATAATGAAAACTTAATTAACCTGATTAAATAAGATACAAACAGTTGTGTTGATCTTGTCCTTTTAATGCATTATAACTTAGCTTTAAGCATCAATTTGTATAATATCTGTTAAGATGGATCAGTGTATTGCAGTCAAATAATCAATTTGTTAAAAAATATTTTGTTAAAATGAATCGCTGTTTTAGTTTAGATGCTACACACAGAAATAGTTCTTTAATTTATAATGCTTGTAACATGGTAATTAATAACATCCCTTCAGATAAAATGATTTTCTTGTTAACTAAATGTTGTTACGAAATAAGACTTCAGTGTAACTTATCAACAGCTCAGGCACTTATAAATTATAATGACAACCAATGCTCTTATTAAACAGTTCTATTTCTTTCTTTTTTTCTGCAGGCTAAAATTCTAAATGATTTACATCATCGTCGAGCAGAAATTTTAAGCCGACTTTTCAACCCACTTGACGATCTCCCTACAAATAATGAGATCTTAACATATTCCAATAGTGCATCATCACAACCTGATGCTGGTGACATGTTTTGGGGTGGTATCCACCCAAATAAGACCATGTTTCAAAGCAATCTGGGCCTCATTCCAGGCAGTGCCCAATCTCCTCATGTTGTTAGACAGGATATAGTCAAGATGATGACCGGGCAGAGAAGCATGACTGGGAACGTTCCAGAAAACAGACGAGAAGGACTAGAATCTGCTGCAGGCAGACAGGGTGTAGCTCAGATAAGCAGAAAACAGAATGCAATTTGGCCGAATGACTTCAACAAAAGTCAGTCAGCTACAGGCTCACAGCAGTCAACCAGTCAGACTCTAGGCCTTGGGGAATATGAATTTCGCAACCCGAAGCACAGTTCTGATGGCTCTCAACAGCAAGGAACGTCTCGCTCCTCTGACTGGGTAATGTCTCATACAAGCAAACTGGGGGCAGCTCACATTTACCCTGAAGAGAATCACAACATGGCCAGTTCAGCTGTACATTCAACACTGGAGTCCACTATATCTGTCCAAAGGCCACAGACATCAAATAGCTATGAACAAACTCAAAACATGACAAATCTTTCAAGCAAGGCAGCGATTCACAGCAAGATGGATCTTTCCCGTTGGAGAGGAAGTCATAACAGTTCCAGAAACAGGACGTTACTCACAAAGAATGGATATGACAGAGACATGATGTCGGAATCATCCAAGCTTAAGCCAGAGAGTGGGCTTGCTCACCAGCGTAACTATGTTGGACATGCTTCCAGGAACACATCTACTATATCCAACCCCAGTGATACCCCTGCAGGTAAGGTCAACAGATTGTTTATCCTAGAGCAGTATGCTACAGCATTTATTGTAGTTTCAGATCATATAGATTCATTCTTCTGTTTGGAAGAATACATACACATTGTTTTAGATAAAATAGCCATCAAATTTGTGTTGAATATACAGTTAAAACAGAAGTGTAATATACAAGGCTATAAATGCTAGCAATTTTGCAAAAACTCTCCCTGAAAATGTTAAAGGTTAAGTCTGTCCTTTTATGCAAACAACATATTTTCCAGTCATTTAAAATTCATCAAAAACTAAGTGACTGCTGAAAGTCCAATTACTGTTTACTATTACATGGAGTATCTTAAAAAAGTAGCATTAGACTGTGTGTGTCAGTCTCAGTGTAAACAGTCACTTATCTAATTTGACATTGAATGCAAGTCTCAGTAAAATGTTACATGTGTACTATAAGATGTCACTGTTGTAGCATAAGATATTTAATATGAGTCTCACAGTTACATAAGCTGTCACTGTTGTAGCATAAGATATTTAATATGAATCTCACAGTTACATAAGCTGTCACTGTTGAAGCATAAGATATTTAATATGAGTCTGACAGTTATATAAGCTGTCACTGTTGTAGCATAAGATAATTAATATGAGTCTCACAGTTATATAAGCTGTCACTGTTGTAGCATAAGATATTTAATATGAATCTCACAGTTACATAAGCTGTCACTGATGTAGCATAAGATATTTAATATGAGTCTCACAGTTACATAAGCTGTCACTGTTGTAGCATAAGATATTTAATATGAATCTCACAGTTATATAAGCTGTAACTGTTGTAGCATAAGATATGTAATATGAGTCTCACAGTTACATAAACTGTCACTGTTGTAGCATAAGATATTTAATATGAGTCACACACTTATATAAGCTGTCACTGTTGTAGCATAAGATATTTAATATGAGTCTCACAGTGATATAAGCTGTAACTGATGTAGCATAAGATATTTAATATGAGTCTCACAGTTACATAAGCTGCCACTGTTACAGCACTAGATATTTGATACAAGTCTCACTGTTACAGCACTAGATATTTGATACAAGTCTCACAGTTATATAAGCTGCCACTGTTACAGCACTAGATATTTGATACAAGTCTCACTGTTACAGCACTAGATATTTGATACAAGTCTCACAGTTACAGCACTAGATATTTGATACAAGTCTCACAGTTGTATAAATATAAGCTGTCACTGTTGTAGCATTAGACACAGGATGTGGTGTGTGGTCAGTTGACGGCGTTGATGATGTTGTGTGGAACTTTACAGACACCACGTTGAAGTCCAACCTGTCCAATGAGGAGGAAGATCTCCTGAAAGAGGTTAGCTTCTCATTTAAACTATGAACACCTCATAAAACATGCTCAAAACTTAAATTGATCACTTTAGGTAATCTTTAAGCTACCATTTTATTCTAGTACTTGGTTACATTAATATTGGACTAGAAGCAAATAGAGTTTAATTGGTTTTATACTTTTTTTTTGACACATGCGTTAGGTAACGCAGGTGTCTAGGAGTTCGTGCATACTAAGAAATTTGCTTAACGTGTAATTGCACAGTAGATACTTGCGCAATCTATGACCTTATATAGTCTCTCAGTCCTTATATGGTATCTGATATCTCCTTATATGGATGTCATTCATTCACTTTTCATTCATATGCAAATGTTTTGGGCAGCCACCCCTAGCATTTTCATTCATAACGTAGTGACGCCATTTTGTGGTTCGCCAACTAATAGGCAGAGAGAGCATTCACTTCGATACTTTCTTAACTAGCCATATGTATTTGAAAAATACAACAATGCATGTATTTTGTGAGTATACAATTAATAAAAAAACTACTTACTGTATTGTTCCAACCCAACTACAGTACACAATTCCCGTCACACTGTTGGAGTCACTATATATATAGCTAGCCGAGCTGGCTGGATGTGGCCGAAGGTCACAACCGCGTTTTATCTGTATTTTTGCAAAAACCTTATCTCCCTTAGTAGAACATGAGACTAACCTGATCAGGCGGATTTGAATGAAGTCGGTCTATTTGTAGGGTCGAATCATATTTGTGAGTTAGCACAAAGCATTATCTCCCTCAGATGTAATATTAGACTAACTCAATCAGTCAGATTTTAGAAGATTTTGTGACGCTTTTGTAACACAATGCAAGTCAAAATTAAAAGAAGTACTAGCAGAGACGTATATATTGTAATATATACGTCTTTGGTAATACACATAATATTTGATAATATCCATGAATTGTTTACAGATAATGAACGGCAAAAGATGGAGCGCGATATTTTCTCTAACAAACATGTACATCACAACATATTTTATCAGTACTAATTATGAAACATGATGTGGTGTGTTCAAGACAAGGATTGAAATACATGTTTGTTACAAACTTGTTACACATTTATTCAATTTAAAAACGCAGTGTTTCTGTTTACTGTTTTATGTTGTGAAAATATATCTTTTGTACTAGAGTGGAACCTTAACTTATTATGATGTCGCTTATTATAATTCTTTTCCCATGTACCGATTTTATCCTTTAACTAAGCAAAACGAATCGTTTATTATGATATGGTCAAAGATTGGACCCCGCTTATTAAAATATTTTTTTCTGCCGTGAATGGATTTTATAAGGTAAAAACTCAGGTAAGTTGTCCGTGTTTGACACCAGGACAATTGAATTATAGGTCGGGCTAACTGTACATTGCCCGAGGTGATCAACTGTACATGTCCACGCCAGGTAAAATGTTCACACCTCGCTTCACCCCCGTCAGTGGAAAACAATAGATCGACCATCGCTTTCTAGTTATGACAAAACATGTGCGGTAGTCAATTGCTATCTTAAATACACTGTAGGACTATGTATGAAACAAATGATAAGGCCAATCGGTTTAAAATCATCTCTTACATGGCTCCGTTAACCTACCAACATTTTCTGACACAAATTCTGATAAGAAAACAAACATGCCTTCCATTAATATTAACGGGTGCCATGACGAGAAAACAAACATGCCTTCCATTAATATTAACGGGTGCCTTGACACGTCATGTGAGAAAATCATGCCGATTCAATGAAAATATTACTCCAGAAGGGAGACGTGTGTTTTTAATCATTTAAGCAATGGTTTCCCTATTCTTTATTGCATTACAAGTTGATTTCCCCGTGTCTACATTGAAAAGTGTCGAAATCGGGGCATGCCCTCCTGACAGCATGATGCTGGAAATCGATCCAAAGTAAATGTTATTGTCGTAAACAACTGACGACGACTGTTTTATCTACACTATACACTGTTTTCGTTGAAAAGAATATTTGATTATTGTTAAAAAAGAAACATTTTGTGTTTTTAATTGTTATTGTTTCTATGCAATTTGATTTCCATTTCACGAATTGCGAGGCATGTGATTGTAATTTACATAGCGCAGTAAAATATTATGACGCTTATGGGCCAAAATGTTACTCAATTTTGCATTGCAAAGTAGGTATGTCATGACTATTTATATCACTTCTTCATCTTATTGACTGTTACATTACAATATCGTTAGCTAGGATGAAGAATAATGGTAGTTCTTAGTTCTTGCACGAAGTTATTTGAAATTGAAAGTAGAATTTACATACTTTATCATTACCTCGACAAAATGAAATCTTCTCAAATTATTTCAACAAGCCAGTATTAATGACAATTAACAAATAATTTCAATTATTACTTCATCAATTTGTATTATTACTCAGGTTTCCACATTAATCTATTTCTGATGATTATAGGGCATCTCACTTCCTGTTCAAAACGATTCAAAACAGCCTAAAGGGGCATCACGGTGAAGTGTATATTTTTTTTTGTATTTTTTTTCAAATGCTACATAAACATATCAAGTGAGTCTCCTTATGGAAAATAACGATTGGATTTGGCTGATAAATGTTCATAAAAATGAATAATTTTAAGATAATCATCATGATTTCTACCTGTCTGACCAACGTTTTGTTCAGGGATTTCCCTCTACTAGCGCATGCGCAAGCACACCATTTCATTGTAAACAAAATGTCTAGCCGTGTGAGGAAACCGTTACAGCGTCAGCTACGAAGCGAAAAGTTGCCAAATGGTCAATTATTGCAGGTGGGAAGTATTCAAAGGAGAAAATAACTGCCCTATACCAGTCAGTACGGTGCATGTATTCTTCCGGATAGCCGGTTAAAGCTGAAATGGAATCGACAGAAATGCTGTTTATGTTATGAATAAATATCTAAAACAATTAACTTCGCTAGTATCGTTGTCTGAGTTTGAACACAGATGAACTTATTTTGTTTTGTTAATGGGCATGTATCGGAGAGAGTTTACTTTGTGTTTCTATATACAGTAGTGTATGCGAAAAGATGGGGGATAAGTGACTGGCTAGTTTGATTTTACTATGAGGCCCTCCAAGGGTTAACTGTGATAGCTACGGGGTATTCTGTTCTCTCCTCTGGGTCAAATGAGATACGTTCGCTATTAGATTTACATAATTTATAATATTTCCGGGTTCAGTAAAATGGTATGATTTAATAAAATTGCTGAAGTAAACAATTTTTTGATTTACATGCAAATTTAAATATGTCAAAATGAAGGTTCATGATGAATAACTGATGAAGGAGAACCTACTTATAGTATATAGGATCACATAACAAAAATCATTTTGTTTCAACAGTTCATGTTTTCACATGATGTTGACTTAGAATGTATGATAATGCAACAACTTTTTCTCTATAAATAATTAATTTTCGACTTCAGATAGTGACTTACTAAGTATTAACGTATGAAGACAGTGAAAGTGGGAAAGAGAGTATACATGAATATGTGTATAATGCATGGTCTAGAAAAAAAAAGTGGCCAAAGACATTGAGTTGTACAATGTAAAAAAACAATTCACAACGGTGAACCGTTTCTCTTATTTATACTTGTCAATGCATATACACTTTATGAAATCAATTGAAAATGGATATTCGTCTCGTGAATATTCCTTTTTACAGAAAGGTTTGTCCCTTGGTTGAGGGAAGGTGTTAATAGCCCGGTATCATTTGTACTGGTCACATTCCGGTATAATACATGTAAATCTATGTTTCCTGGTGTCTATAAATAATGCCGAGTTGCCAACAAATATTTCTTCATTTAAATTCCGAATATTGGCATGTGTGCAATTAACTTCTGATGATGAATAATTACTGATTCAATAAGTTTCAACACGGACTTAGAAATCATATTCCTCGGTTTCATAGTGCGGTAAGAAGTTGCCTAACGGCCCCTCTCTGGGGACCCCTTTGGATATCGTTCAGACCACCTTTGTTTACTGCCTCGTTTCAAAACCGCCAGGCACTATTTTTAAACAGGGCTTTCCCGAACAATTCAAGTGGTCAAACTTGACATTTGGAACGAACTATGAATATGGGGATAGCAAGGTAACATAAGTGGAAGTGCATACAACACATACATTCATTAAAAAAAATATGGCTCTTCACGTGATGTCCCTTTAAGGATGTGTAGTGCGATGAGCTTTTCTTGTCTGAAATCGGCACGGTCTACAGGAGGTAACTCTTACTGCAATTTTGTCAAGACTTAAACATTCGGTAACATATGAAGATAGTATCAACATCTTATTCCTCAGCCATTTTCAATAAGGCCCAATAAAATGGAATTAATAAGTAAATGTGTTAAATGAAGAACTATGAAAAGATCAAATAGGTTGAAGTGTTTTACGACGTAGTCAACCCCCATTTTCGGCGCCATTGTTGAGGAATTGACAGACGACAACAATCTAATAAGGCAAAAGAAAGACAGAAAGCCAAAGGAGGGATTAAAAAAGTACTACGAAAGTATTAAAGATGTGACAGAATCGCACGATGAAGGTGAAGAGGCAGTGGAGCTACAGAAAGTACATGCACTAGATCACAATTATGGCAGGATCAACAGTGAGCCAGTTGTCATTTTGGATGGAGGTTTAGTTGTAGAGGAAGGGACATTAAGTACCAGGGAAGATGTATGGAGAGACGGTTGACATGTGGTAGAATTTGGAGTGTTGGCAGATGCACTGTCATCATGCAGTAATTGTGGCTTGCCTTTTCAACTGCACCACGCTACAGCCATAGTAAATTATGAATTATCAGCTATAATAAAGGTGAGGTTCAAAATTTTAAAAAATATGAATGTCACTGATAACCAATAAGGAGGGGTTAAACAGAGGGGCCACCGATTCCCAGTTCCGTCCCCCTTAACTCCCACTTCCTTTCCCTCACTATGCCAGTTCCCTCCCCCTTAACTCCCACATCCTTTCCCTCACTATGCCAGTTCCCTCCCCCTTAACTCCCACTTACCTTCTCTCACTATGCCAGTTCCCTCCCCCTTCCCTCACTATGCCAGTTTCCTCTCCCCTTTTTCTTGTTTCCTACTCCTGGCTCCCGCCACCCCCTGCTCCTAGGTTTTGCCCCCTTATAGCATATTTAAAATTCTACAGTATTGTTATAAGTAAGGGATGATTCTGATACTTTTTATTTGTATTCCACACAAAATGGTGAACCTTGCATTTCCCCTGTTTCTCAGCCTCACTTTCAAGATGCTATACACATGTATGTACATGTATATTGTCTAAATCATTCATTACATTTTATGTTAATGTACATGTATATAAAAAAAAAAATCAGGTACCATGTTCAAACCTTGAATGTAAATTTGTTAACCATGTACCAACTGGTAAAAGACAACAGGATTTGGGATGCTAACACAAAGCTCGCATCAGGTATTTTTTAGCACAAATGTAAATCTTATGTAATTTGGACTTTTGTATGGTAGATATTTCTTGGATATACTAAATTTGTGACCTTGGCTGCCACCTGATCTAATATAACTTTCAACTTTTACTACACACCAAGTTAAACTTAATGTTGATCCCAGTCTTGATAATTAATGCAAAAGTTTCAAATAATTGGTTGGGCACCCCAAAAATAGAAATTTTACTCAAATGTGTGAACCGAACCTGTGAAACGCTAATTTTTTTTTTTTAGAAAGGGATACAGGTGAACAATATGTAAGAAATAATTTATTGAAGAGTAAATATGGGAATTATACCACAGGAAGTCACTTTATGTTAAATATTTTACCATTAATGAGATGAATAAAACATCTAATCACAAAATAATATAACAAACATGACAAAATGAATTTGAAAAAGAAAGGATGATATTAATTTTCTAGCTATGATACATGCCGGCATTGGCAAGAGGCAAGTCAATAGTCTTCTTTCGGAGCTGAATATCACTCATGTCAGTAAATGGACACTGCTAGCAAGGCAAAATGAAGCAGGTATTTAAAGCAAAATTATACTTTTATCATAGTGTTTACCCAAACTGTGTAAGTGAATGGGAATATGAAATTAAAGAATTTCAAGGCATTGTCTTGATCGTTGCTACATACTGATGAGTTATAGATCAACTTTGAGTTGATGACCTTTAATTCAAAAACACCATTCATTGTCATAGAAGTTTGTTGTGGGCCCCGCGCATCTGTGTCATAATGACACATCTAGTTTTCATCATTTATTTTACCTGTTGTTTGCAGAAAACTTGTTTTTCCCAACTTTTAATGCACGTTCACATAATATTATATTTGAAAGTAGCAGTTTAGTTATAACATATACCAAATATGACTAAATAATCACCACCAACTCAGGCACAGATGGCAGCAAACCAGTTTTCCTTGCTGGACATAACATGAAAGTTTTGGATTGTCCTTTAATTGTTATTCAATGCATTGGAGAAAAAGAAGAAAAAAAAATCAGAATTTGTAAATGTTGTAGATGGTTTTATTGATACTGAAGTGCTTTTTGAAAAAAAGTTGCCAAATTTGTCTTCATATGCACAAGAAAATGTATGTCAAGCTGTAACGGGTAATGATTACAATACACATGATGCCTTAGAGGATGTCACATCTATACAGCTGTTAGTTGATGAAAGCAATGTTACTGTTCACTCATGTTCTGATGCTGCTTTTGATTGTAATTAGGTTTTATCCTCTCTTGCTTACTCTATGTGTATAAAGAAAAATATTTCATCTTACAATGATCTTGTAGAAAAGAAAATTTTGAGCAAAGGTATGGCTAGGAAAGCTGCTGGTAGTAATTTGTCTTTCCATAACTTGAAACTTGCCTACAAAAGAAATGGTGAAGATGGACTCAAAAGTGTATTATCTGAGACAAAAGTTTTAGAGTAACAAAGTCTGCTAAGATCATTCAAGCTGTGTCAAATTCCTTTTCTGAGTTTTAAAGTTAAGCAATTTGATAAAAATTTAATATACTGTGAGCATGGCTAGCACATTTCTAAAACTTGACACAGTGATTTACCCTTGTCCGTCTATAGGTATGTATGTATGTCCATACGTCCATCCCGATTTGGTTCAATTTTAAGTGTATGTCCATTTCTCAGATAGTAGACATTGTATAGCAATGACACTTGGCCAGTTTATAGATTTTTGGTAGTACAACAAGGTTCACCGTTTGCTAGGTCACTTTGATCTACAGTTTACGCATGAATGACTCAGGTTAAAGTCCTTCTTCTACCATAGGGATTAATGGATTTCATCCCAATTTGGTCTTGGACATCCTTAGTCAAAGGGGACTCAATTTTGTATAAACGGTTGGTGTGGCCCCACAGGGGGAAGGAACGGGGCCCAATAGGGGAAACAGAGGTATAACCTTTAAATTCCTTCTTCTACCATAAGGATTAAGGGATTACATCCTAATTTGGTCTGGAGGATCCTTAGGCCAATTAAGTGCAGTCAATTTTGTATAAACGTTGGGTTTGGCCCCCAGGGCAGAGGGGCGGGGCCCAATAGGGGAAATAGAGGTATAACCTTTGAAATCCTTCTTCTACCAAAGGGTACAGGATTTTATCTCAATTTTGTCTCCATCACATTGTCTAGTAGTGCCTGTTACTATTTGGGTGTATTCATTAAAACAAGATGGCCTCCAGGCTGCCATCTTGGATTTTGTCATATGAAGTTTGTTCTTGCTATATCTCCAGAAATACTCCATAGATCTTTCTGAAATTTCATATGTACATGCAGTACCTACCATAGAGTGCTATATCTTTACCTCATATCAAGTACTTTAAACACATATCCAGGTGAGCGATACAGGCCCTCTGTGCCTCTTGTTATGATGGTGCAATATTCATGTACATTCAAAATCAGCATGTGTTGGGGGGGGGGGGGGGGGGGTATACTAAGAAAAAAAAGAAAAAAACTTTTTGATTTTGTTTTTTAATGCCAAAATTATATTAAATTGTAGATTTTGGTTATATATGAAATATGATGTTATGAAATGATGTTAAATACATAGCGAAACCGGTGATTCTGTAGTATGTTATATATATGACCTAATAAAATAGATGAACATGAAAGCTTTTATGTCTTTTGTATTTTATTTAGTAAAGTGGTGTCTTAAATACAATTTTTATGAAGATGCATGAGATAAATGATGTTTTTTAAGCTTCTAAACCACATAGGTATCAAGATATGGGGTTCCGTAGGCAGAATAATTCAAAATATCCAGGTGTTTTCAGGAGGCCATATTTTTTTAACAATGCCCATAAGGTATCATTATCTATAGCATTTTTTAGTCCCTTCCAAATTAATCTTTTAAATAACCATGGTTTACACAAGTGTTGATTTCTTAATATTTTCTTATTTCACCTGATTCCATCCTTAACGGGGGAGATACAGTGACCATTGGTGAAAAATGGCAAATATTTCAGGTGTAAAAATAAAGAGCAATGAGTCCCGTAACGCATTTATTTTGTGCCCACTGGTTTCATTTGTGTACAAAATCATGTTTTTTCTCCAAAAAAAAATATTTTAAGAAGAAAAGGAGTGTTTTTGTAATTGTTTATTGTTGCATCGCTGTAGCTTTTATTACAGGACAAAATATTACTTAATATAAATAATTTATTTCTCTAATATATAAGGAATGGAAACCTACCGAGATATTTCCGAATATCTATTTAATATCGACAAAAATCCTTTCTGAAGACACGTGGGGGATGAAAAACTACACTAGGTTTTGAGACTTTCAAAAGAAAGCGAAACTGTGTCTTCATACCTTGTATAAAAAATAATCTGGTCTTGGCAATCGGTCACATGATTAGTTTTGGTTAAAAGAATGTCGTAACCAATGACTGCTAATGAAGAAAACATGGATCACATACAGATTCAGTGGAAAAAACGACGATTTCACAGACTTAATTCAGAATGTTGTTTACATCTCGCCATGAAAGGACTTTTTACATTCTGTGATATCAATCTGTGAATCCGAAAATCTTTGCAAAACATAGATAAAACTGATTAATAAAATCTTTTACCTGTAACTGAGCGAGATCGGGTTATCTCAGTTGAGGGTTAAGATTCTGTAACAAAATCCCAACCGAGGTGTAAGCCGAGGTTGGGATGTTTCAGAATCTTAGCCCGAGACTTAGATAACCCGATCTCGCTTGGTTACAGGTGATTGATTTTTTTTCTCACACCTTTTAGTTCGAAAAGAACTCTTCAATTTTTCTAAAAACTGCAAGTATCCCGCCTTGGGCCTCAAATGATAATGACCTCTTCACTACTAACGCTACATTTGAATGCTACCGCGTAAAAATGTAGTCCGTCCTTACATAGATAACAACGTATTTCACAGTGTAGATTATATTTTTTCTACAAAATCAAATATCTATCAACATCAAAACTATACATAAAACAACAAAACAGGACATTTATAATGCAAATTGTCAATTTCAAGCGGTTAACAAGCGGATGAATACATCGCAGTGTAAAAATTCCGGGAAATGTCACGTTAAGGTACAAGACAGATCGGGCGAGATAGAAAAATCTAGCATGGGGTATGACGTAGGATATTTGTCTGAGGTGCGAGAAATTGTTGTCTCAAAATGACAATATTACAGGTTATGCAACAACAGTTGTATCATAAAAATATGTAAACTTGAACTTAAATGTTCAAAGATCATAAAACTGCAACACATGTAGTTCTTCGGAAGCGGAGTATAAACAATAGCACAGGTGTTGTTGGGCACATCCGGTAAGCTAACCAAGGACAGATCCGTTTGCAAGTAAGTATGATTTACACATCAATATTACTATTACGTTCGAGATCCTTACATATAATGCAATATATGCTGCATTTATTATCACTGAGCTTGTCGATCGCAGATCGTCAGTTATTTATCGCTCCTATAACACTTTTTATGTTGTGTTTGCCTCGTGTTGAACCTGTCAGATGTGCATTTTCTCACGTGGTTACACGCATTTGTTTCCATTTGTTTGGGGTCCGCAAACTTTCTCGCTGTATGGACAACAAGAGTATATGCAAAATAAAATCATTTTAATGTTTGACACATTTCTTTCCATGTATGTTTGTATCATTATTTGATATATTGCCATTTTAATTTATTTATTCCCGAAAAATAGCATGTGTTATATATTGTTTACCCCCTTCCAGTAGCCCCCGAAAATGTAACTTGAGTATAAAAGACTGTGCGTGACTGTTTGGAGACTCATACACGTGTAGCACTTCAAATTAGTCTTGGGAAAGAAACAAAGTCAAGTTTTAAAGTTTAATTTAGCAACTGGAAGGCATTTTGAAGTAATTTACATGTGTATGTACTAGTATATCATTTGTTTTCAGTTTGTACCCCAAGTGACCTGTGGTAACAGAAATTCATGTGTTAGGAAACCTGTGAGAACTGGCAACAATAAAGATGACAAATACTACGGTGTCTAAAGCAACAGGATCAGGTAAACATAAGTTGATTGGTCGAGTGGTTACTAAATATTAATTCGCAAACTGTTTTATAGACAATTAATTCATTTTGTCATTTAATCTGTTAAATATGTATACATTAACTTTTTGAGAGTTGATTCTACAACCAAAACATGCCTTCACATACCTGTAGGATGCTCTCATTCAGACAATTGAAATAAGCAAATCACACACTGTTCTTTAGCAAATAAAGTATCAAGTAAAGTATGTACAAGTGTAATTTGTATGAAATTGAGTAACTGACTGAATCATAATATTAAATTTCACATTTAAATTTTGCATTTTGTAATTGGTGCAAAAATTTTTTCTGAATTTTATGTTTCAAAAACATTAAGTTGTTACTCAACAATTTGGCATGTTATTGAAACTATTTATAATTATATGCTATAAAGCAGTGGCGTAAATGATGCAATATATAGTTTTAAAAACTATTTTCAGGTGAAAAAAGTTAACTTCCAGCTCAAAGTGTTCCCACATCAAGAAGGCATCAAGTTAAAAATGCAACAATGATAGAACAGGTACACAGTTATAAAATTTCTGTTTAGTGTTTTCTGGACTGTTTTCATGACACAGAAATAAACATGATAAACATATTGACCCCATGATTTACATGTGCCGTACCGAGAGGTAAGCCCCCGTCTGTACCTGTGCTTTCTGTTCTGGTTCAACCAGTTGAAACAGTTGATGCTGATCAAACCATAACCCTGTGGTCAGCTTTGAATTTTAACAATCAATACTTGCAAAGTTTGCATCTGGCTAGCCACTGTTTATTTCAAAGTAATTGAAGTCTCTATACATGTATTACAACATATGCTGATCGCGTCAACTAGTGAAATATTCCAGCCCTTGAATAGCTGATATAAGGAATCAATAGTGTAAATTCTGTTTTTCAGTACATTGGTGTGACAATATTGTGAATGTCTCTTACTGGACCATGTTCTCAAGGAAGTTGTTTTTGTTGAGGAAATTGTCACAACAGTAATTGCTTATTAGTAACATCAGTAAAAATGCTTGTACTCTTTTGAACTTACTTCTCAGTTGGTGGTCCAAAAACTTTTACCATGGATTTTATATTTTAAGGGTTGTACGTATACATTCATGTTTCTATGACAGATGAAAGGATAATAAAAACAATGTTATTGATTTTCCATTGAAAACACCTGTTTGAATTGAGTTGTGTCATTTCACTTTCTATTTTTCACTAGGTGACTTGAATAAAGACAAATGGTTAGAAGGCTATGTGCTGGAATATGTTACAGGAAAAGATGAGGAAAATGGTGTAATGGTATTGTCCTTATCGAGCCCGCCGATACTGTACTAGTGTGTGTAATCGAACGCACCTTTACTTTGTTGTGTGTAATACATCTCTAGATGGGGCCATGTACGATGTAAAATACAAAGGAAAAAAGCAAAAACCATGGTGCATAATCTACAGCAAGACCTACATAATGGTGATCTTAAATTTGGGGATATTTAGGTGAGTTCATGGAATTAATCTGAATATAGCAATTTCCATGTTGATTAAAGTAAAAGGATTGCGTCATTTTATGAATAAGGACATTCATTGCATACTTCCTACATGTCCAAAATTGTCATTTAATCTGTGAATATCATTGTATTCATATAATTTATTGATATCAACTTAGTAAAAGTAGTGTATGATCAATGCTATAACTGAAGAATTCTTAGCTGTTATATAAAGGTAAAACAACATTATATTTGTGTTGATCAGGCAATCCCACCTGTGTATCCAAACCACCCTGCCATTTATCACAGCCTGCTGACCTAACCAGTAACATGCTGAGTAACCCCTCATACCAGGTATGCATTAACACAACCCAAGTCAACTAAACTACAGTCAAGTTCAACCATTCCTGTCAAGATGGTTAGTCATAATTCTCAGCTGAGCATTGTTCTAGGGCCAATATAAAGGGTTATTTCAGCTGTAGACAAGTCTACCTCTGTACATACTGCACTCATCAGAAAAAATATACTGGACAATATGGACTGTCTGTAGTAAATGTAGGCTAAATGGATAACTGCACTTATCAGGATGAAAGATACATGTTTTGATGTTCTCTAGCTAAGGTGTTGTACTCTGTTAGCTATTTATCAAACTACATTTGAGACATATGCCACCTGATGTGAAGTTACACAATGCTGATTAAACAAACTGTGTAGATAATATATGTCAGTCAGAAAATGTTTTTAGTAGAATTGTTATATTTTTGTTATTTTATAGATGACAGATACACTACACATTACCCATCGAATCAGTTGGGCACTTGAGCGACTAGCCAACCAACCCAGTCAAATCATCAGACAGACAGCCAGTCAACCAAATAACTTCTTCCTCTTCATATCCTGCAAGCCTTTTTATAAAGATCTGATAACAGTCAGTCAATGCTGCAACTAGTTCAGCCATTGATCTCTTTGAAATCATTTCTTTGGTAAGCATATTAGAATTGTTCCTTGATAAAAATATTCGTTGGAATACCGTCTCAGAAAGTCTGGAAGCTTGTCTGACAGATATCAGTATCTGGATGACCGCCAACATGCTTAAGCTTAATCAGGAAAAGACGGAACTAATCGTCTTTTCCCCAAAGTGTCAGCAAACAATGGCTCTCCAGCTCAAAGTCGGTTCCAGAACTATTGAGACTGTTCCAGCTGTTAAAAACCTAGGGGTATACTTTGATAGTTCACTGAACATGGAGAAACAAGTGAACGCTATTGCCAAATCCTGTTACTACCGAATCAGGAACATCGGCTGTATTCGACAGTTTTTAACTGCAGATGCATGCAAGATTCACTTTTTACCTCTCGGTGGGATTATGGTAACGCCCTGCTCTGTTGTATATCTGACAAACTAACTAGTCGTCTGCAGAGGGTCCAGAACACTGCAGCACGGCTAGTTACTCGTACTCGAAAGTGAGAGCACATCACACCTGTGCTTTATTCGTTGCACTGGTTACCTGTACGATACAGGTCGCAGTACAAAATTCTGTTGTACACATACAAGGCACTGAATGGAACAGCTCCTCAGTACCTACAGGAGCTTGTTACTCTGTATCAGCCGTCACGATCACTGCGGTCGGAGTCAGAATCTTTGTTGTGTGTCCCAAAATCTCGTACTGTGACCTACAGAAGGGTTTCGGCTACGTTGTGGAATAGCTTACCATCTGCAATTAGAAAGTCAAATACCCTGGCCAAGTTCAATAGGGACATCCAAACTCACCTCTTCACGTCTGCATTTTAGAATCTTTGCAAAGACGTTATGTATATACATGTACCACCCTTTTATTTGTTCAATTATGTGCACATTGCTTGCTTAAATATATAAAAGTGATTGTTAGCCTTTGTTTTTATACGACCGTCAAATTTGACGGTAGTATTTAGTATGGCGTTGTCCAAAGATTTTCTCCTACTTTTTTTATAGCTTATCAGCTAACCACTCTTAAAATGATGCAGATCTTATTTCAATGTAAGAAAGTATATAACACTATATGGAATTTGACGGGCGTATTTTGTTCCGCCCCGCGGTACTCTTGTTTGTTTTTACAATTATAACCATTACTATTATCCATATGTTGTAAAGCGCTTTAGAGTAACTTTACAAATTGTATAGGGCGCTATATAAATTTTGTATATTATTATTATTATAATAGAATTGATCACGACTTAAAACTTACAAAACTTTTGTGCATCTGGTGTTGCATAGGGCATGGACAAGTATCCATGTACCAAACCCCACCAGTTGTATAAGTCCATGTTTTGCGATATAAAGATTAAAACAATTTCCTTTCTCTCTCTCTCTTCCTAGTGGTGTTAATTTCAGTACAATCTGTCAGTCATTCCAACAGTCCCACACTGTTCAGCATCCCTCCATGTTTTTGTAATCTTATCAAAGACCATAGACCCATTATCTACTCTGGCCTAAGTTTTGAAAACTTCCTTTTTATTTTTAGGTATAAGTGCAGACAACAGCAAACCAACACAACTTCCACAAATATCCCAGCCAACCAGTCAAATAAATAGCCTAATCTGAGCTAGCTACTCAACCAAGTCGGACTAACCAGTATCTCAAGCCCGACCTTGGCAGGATTGTATCTAAGTGGCCAGTCATCAAACAATTTTGTGTTCAATATTCTACTCAGTAAGTATAACTGGAGAAATAATCCAAAGTGCACTTCAGCAGGCAATTTTCACACCTATCACAGATTGTCAATTTCAACAAAGAATTTGCTAATAATCCTATACTGTTTGATGTGGTTCACTGGACAATGAATTTTTAAAATCTGATATGAAGAGGAAGAAGTTATTTGGTTGACTGGCTGTCTGTCTGATGATTTGACTGGGTTGGTTGGCTAGTCGCTCAAGTGCCCTACTGATTCGATGGGTAATGTGTAGTGTATCTGTCATCTATAAAATAACAAAAATATAACAATTCTACTAAAAACATTTTCTGACTGACATATATTATCTACACAGTTTGTTTAATCAGCATTGTGTAACTTCACATCAGGTGGCATATGTCTCAAATGTAGTTTGATAAAATCTGTTTGCTATCATAGGGCCAACAAGAGGGGAGTTGTAATATTTAAGAATATTTTTTTTTACTGTTGTTAAATAGAGAAAATATTTTATGATGAGTATTGGTTTAGGTATTCTACAACAATGTATATCTTTCACTAAATTAATTTGAATGAAATGTAGTCAGGCAAATTGAAATCTCAGATCATATCTTCAGCTAATCTTTATAGTGAAGCATATTAACGTTATCTAAACTGATGTGTTGTTGATTTATATTTTCAGACAACCAACAATTATGGAAGTCATATACTTGAAAAGTTTCCATGCAGCTATATTTAGCTCACCTGGCCCGAAGGACCATGGTGAGCTTATGCCATACCGCAGCGTCCGTCAACGTCATCGTCAACTTTTCCTTTAAAACACTACTAGTCATGAATGACTGAGCAGATTTTGACCAAATATGAAGCATCCTTGGGTAAAGGGGAACTAATTTTGTATAAACCGGGGGTCTGCCACCCCAGGGGCCTGAGGGGCAGGACCCAATAGGGAAAACACAGCAAATTATTCTTTAAAATCCTTCTTCTGTAGGAATGAAAGGATTTGGTCTGAAGCATCCTTGGGTAAAGGGAACCAATTTTATATAAACTGTAGGTGAAAAAACCGGGGGCTGAGGGGCAGGACCCAATAGGGGAAATATAGCAAATTCTTTAAAATCTTTCTTCTGTAGGAATGAAAGGATATGGTTTGAAGCATTCTTGGGTGAAGGGAAACCAATTTTGTATAAATGGTGGGTCTTGCCTCCCCCCCTGGGGGTGGGGCCCAATAGGGGAAATACAGATAAAACCTTTATAATCCTTCTACCATAGGGATTAAGGGATATTATCCTTATTTAGTCTGGAGCATCCTTGGGCAAAAGGGACTCAATTTTGTATAAGCAGTGGGTGTGGTCTCCCAGGGGGCAGAGGGGCGGGACCCAACAGGAGAAATAGAGGTTAAATCTTGATAATCCTTCTTTGATCTCAAGTACTGGATGGATCTTTCTGAAATTTCATATGTACTTGCAGCACCTACCATGGAGTGCTATATCTGTACTTCATACCATTTATTTTAAGCATATTCAAGTGAGCGATACAGGCCCTCTGGGCCTCTTGTTTTACTGATGTGACAAAGACACCAATCATACTGTGTAGATTCTATCTGGCGTCCTATACAACAGATACAGTGAACAGAAAGGCTCCTGTTTGCAGACTATAATACATACATGAGGTAACTTTATTCTATGGTTTTTGTTTTGCATAAATCTGTCGGTAAACATAACTATTTTAAACATTGTTCAGTTAATAATTTTGAATTGGGAAGCACATACACACCTCGTGAAAATAAAGCCTGCCAAGTTTCAACAATCATGGTGAAAAACTGACAGAACAGATTTCTGGACAAGATTAAAATGTTGAAGAATAAAAGGACAATAGTTCTGTGAAATATGACCAAAATCAAATTCCAATTCAGAAAGCACAACTACATGTTGTGGCAACAAAGCCAAGCAGATTTAAAGACTGTCTTTGTAGAAATTAGGGAGAAGATCTCTTAACAGTTTTGAAACGAAGATAAAATAAAGGGCGATTACTCTTTTAAAGATTGTCCGAAACATTTTCCAATTTGGAAATCAAAACTATTTTTAAAGATAATAAAGCCATCTAAGTTTTAAGAGGATTTAGTCAAAAATGAATGAATTTTTTATTATTTTTTATTTTCAGTTTTGCAGTTTGAGCCTCCATACTTTCTGCTTCACTGACTACATGGACTACTTTCTAGCAAAAAATGGCTGAAAATTGTGGCCAACAACCATCAGGAAATTGTGCCAGTGTTTCAATGTAAAGGGATTTTAAGTGAATTCCTTTGTAGGTTTTCATAGACTATAAATTGAAAAAAAAAAAAAACATTTTTGTGGAATTTTAGGAATTAGCTTGTGTTAGCTAGGGACGCAACCATCCAATAAATTTTAATGTGTTCTCAGAAAGTTTTGAGTTAACTTTTTAAAATTATCATTGTCTATAAATGAACATTATGTTCTAATGAACATTTTGGTATATGATAAGGGTATATTTGTTGTTGCTAAAATGAAATATTACACTGGGTTGTATATGCAAGTGGATATGCCGCTTGACTTGTATCTCCCCCTTAATCGTTTTTTGGTAATATATCGTTTGTTATATTATTTTTCTTTGGCAAACAGAATATCATAATATGCGGTTTCCACCGTGCTGTTATTATTTATTTCTGACATAATTTCGGACTCCTTGCCAAATACATTTCAAATGTTGCATGTGGTCAGGTAATCATATGTTTTTAACAGAGGAAATATTTTGGGCAAAAGTTATAATTGAATTGTCGGGGGCTTAAAATCTGTGAGCACTCATCCCTTCGATTGCCGATTGACACTTGTCTTACGGTACTATGCCGACTGCATCATCGAGTATCTTGACGTGTGAACTGAATGCTTTTGTAAAGATTGTGTGGCAAGGTACGTACTCTGAATCAGTGAATAACATGATAATTTGTCCCGAAATAGACAGTGGGCAATATAAATGAAACTCCAGGATGATATTATGAATCACCCCAAGCTTGTATAAAGCCAATATATAGTCCACGTCTCTGACGCACTGTCACCTTGATGTTGAAATCAATTTATTATGATTTGGGTTCATTGCGAGCGTAGCAAGCTTATCTGATTTTAATATTTTCATTTCTTGAGTAATGATTCTGTAACTGTGTATCACACTGCCCGCACAATATCTGTCCCCTCCCCTCTCTAACATGTGTATATTCCCCAGCATCAATTAAATTGGTCAGCGAACCATGATAGAGACGTTTGTACCTGTAACGTCAGTGGTCCGTAGTAGTAACAGGGTACAGGTGTTAAATTTAAAGTTTTTAATCCAAGAATCTTTTTCTTGCATGATGGATAAACAGGTTGTTTTTATTCCTGGTGAAAATTGAAATACATGTAAATATTCATGATTCATTCCACTCTGGCATTTTACTTTTAAAAAAAATGCAAGTTGGGAAAGTACAAGGTGGCTAGCCAAGACAGGTATCTAATTTAATTTTGTGCAACACTATATGGTTCAGATTACATGCGTAGCAAAATAAACTGGAATGGTAACACCTGTCCCAAAAAAAATCTAGATCCGCCCCTGGTCAGTTCAAAAGAAAATACAAGAAAAACTGTTGAACATGGAAAAAGCATGACTAATAAAAATGACTGTTAAATATTAAATAAAATAATAAACTTTGTAACAATGAAAACAACCAAAACATTAAATGATGTATTCCTTCTTGTATTACAGGCAGCACAGGAAGCTTTGGAAGATGTGAATAAATCCAAAGAGGCTGCAATTATCAAAAACAACTGGATTGAAACTGAAGATATTATAATTATCTGCAATAAAGATTTAACACATGATCATTTAATGGACTGCATGATTGCCAGACATCGTATACATGCTGTGCAGTTGTGGCCCAATATGGATTCAAAAAGTGTCCATCACAGCCGTTTTATCACATATATTTTTTTACATACTCTAGGAATACATGATCTCTCATCAAAAACTCAAAATTTTCCTTGATGGAGACCTCCCTTCTAGTTGAGACCATAGCTCCCTCACATATCCTCCCCACCTAGTCACTTTCCTCATTGGTTTGTGCATTTTGCAACAGTTCATGGGGCCCTTTTATGGGTGTCGGGCCTTGCATTGGTATGTCCTGGAATCAGAACTTTATTTTAGGTTACAACCAATATTAAAATCCAAATATGTTAAAGTTGAAAATTGCCATCTATTTGAAGAAATATATTTAAATGAAGTTTTGAACGATGGGGGACTTTCCGCTAAAACAAATCTGTGAGATGTATTTGCTGAGGAGAACCCCAGCCCTGGTCTTAACCGTCCAAGACCACTGGCATAACTGTTTGTGTATCAAATACTTATATAAATACACATACATGCAATACGCCAATGTGTAGTTTCATGATTATACTTCTGTAACTTACAGAGCAGTATTAAACCACAAGAGGCTTGAAAATCTGTATATAATATACTATTAGTAATAACACAGCATGTAACTGTCCATGGAAATTTACCTGGCAAGTCTAGTACATTTCACATGATGTGAAATTAGCAAGCAATGGTTAAGCTTAATTGACCCTCAACTTGGAAAATTTTGGGAACTGTGATTAACTGTTGCCTCAGCACATTTCATGATAACACACAATACACTTGACTGACTTATTGTAGAATGAATTCCATGCTATACCCCTAGTTTACGTATATAAGAAAATGATATTTTGAATATCAGAAAAATATGAACTCAAGATCACTTTCACAAGCCTACCCTATTTTTTGCATAAAAATTGATGACTGAAGTTTGATGTGATTCATGTATTACAATATTTATTTGCAGTGAGATTGTTGTTTTATGACACAATGTTAATTAGTCCCCCATCGCTCCCTGGATGGAGGATATAGAAATTGAATTAAGTTTCATGCTGTTACTATTAACATAATCATACGAGGAGGTGTATACCGACATATGACCCATGGCAAAATCCTAGTTCAGCTAAAGACATTTGTGACATGTGCTGCTGGTCTGTAGGAAATATGTGTTTCACCCTCTACCAATAGGCACTAAGAAGATACTGCAACAGTCATATAATTATTCATTCGGAAGTCAACTCTTTATTTATGGCAGAAGTAGAGCCCAAAGCTTCTTGAAGCCGTACTTGTTGGTCCTCAGAGGGAAAATACATTTCAGACTATTGCCAACACAGACATTAGATAAGAGTAAATATTCGTTCACATCATTTTCAGCAACTTTAAATGGCATTTAACCTGCACCTCAACTGATTGTATTGTGTTCGTTTTTCCTAAAATGTTATATATATAACTATGGAAGTATTGCAACATCAAGAAAGCATGGTTACGCGGCGCTTGTCAAAAGTTTTTCGCCGTGTAAAACCTCTAACATTGTTGGAGTAGTGTCTGGAGTACTTTCAGTGCTTTGATTTAAATATTTACATGAGTAACCATTTGATGTGTGGGATACATTAAGTCTAATTTAAAATAAATTGTCTCAATTTTTAAGTCACTCTATTTTCATATCTCTGATCAACAACATTATGTAAAACCTGTACATCTATTGTAGTCTTAGTTATATTGAGGGTGATTTTTATTTATGTTGGTTTTATGTTGGTTTTATTCTAAAGGAGCGGATGAACAGTACAGAGTTTATGTTGAATTGGCTCCATGATATCCCAGACGAGCCTACTCCAATTGAACCATTGGACCAGTTCGTTTCACTTTCAAGGTATTCATCATTCACAGTGTTATGCCTGTACAATTTTAACTAGCTTGACTACACTGCTTAATTATTATCCCCTCGCAACGAACGTTTGAGGGGATATATGATTCCGCCCGTACGTAAGTAGGTATGAACATATGTTACACTCTTTGTCATCGCTCTAGTGACTTCATTTCTCAACGAAATTTTATGAAACTTCATACAAGTGTATGACAATACCTTGAACAAGTTCACGTTTCAGGTAACTGCGTAGAAGGTCAAGGTCTCTGTTACTATTTTTAGAAAAAGTTTTGTCATCGCTCTAGCAATTTCATTACTTAACCAAATTTCATGAAACTTGATACAAGTTTCTGGTATGACAATACCTTGAAAAAAGTTTTTGTCAACAGAATTTCATGAAACCCATACATTTATAATGTGTGAATGTGAAGGAATTGTTTCACTTGTGATGCCTTATTCCATCTTAATTTATTCAGGTTAGATATATAATTAACGAGGGGGGGAAGTGAAGTTTGATCTTGGATGTCATATTAACTAGGGGAACTAATTATTTTGATCTTGGATATCTTATTTAAGAGGGGGGAAATGTGAATTTTGATCTTGGATGTCTTATTAATGAGGATGAAAAAGTGAATTTTGATCTTGGATGTCTTATTAACGGGGGAATAATTTTTTTAATCTTGAATGTGTTATTAACAAGGGGGAAAAAGTGAATTTTGATCTTGGATGTCTTATTAACAAGGGGGCAAGGTGAATTTTGACCTCAATTTTAATAATCATCCATGGGCGTTCACCAAGTAAAATGAATCTTATATTGCTAGCAATTTCAAAGACCTGTATGTATGGCTACTGAAATTATACATGCAATATTTTGACTAATCCAAAATCAAAATCAGCGTTTATAGCTTTCCTGTGTAAGCGCTAGTACAAATATATAGAATTACATCATATTTAATATGAAATCAGTTACTACTTAATGAAAGCATAAAAGTCCCCAATTAACTTGTGATTTCAGAAACCGTGCATTAGAAGATGATGCCTTCATACCATTTGACTCCATCCCAATGGTGTCCCGGTTTGGACCCATTTCACGATCTGCCAGGAGCAAGTACAAGAACACTGAACCTGTGCAGGTCACAGCCAATGATGTAAGAGGTGGCCTCGTACTTGTTGGTTGTTAATGTTACAGATAAAATGTGTATCCCCACTGGTGTTCATTAAAACTTTGGCAGAATATTGGTTATACATTATATTAAATACTAGGTAATTTAATTCAAAGTGAATAAATTACCAATAGTTAAATTTTTAACTTTGACATTGCATTTGAACTGTGTCAGTACTTTGTTTTTAAAAACACAGTCAAGCCTTGTTAAGTCAGCCAATGCCAAACTTTTTTTGAGAGATATTTTCAATTAGGTACTGTATCTTTACTATCTCAATGCAATTGGCCTTCAATGCAACAGATCCTCTCAGCCATTTAATCAAAGTCAATGTCAGTTTGATTGGTTGAAGTTCTGAACTATGGAACAGTGATTTGAACAATGGAACAGTGATTTGAACTATGGAACAGTGATTTGAACAATGGAACAGTGATTTGAACTATGGAACAGTGATTTGAAGATATAAACAAATTGTGATAGCAAGAAGTTTCACAACTCATGGCCATTGTTTTTCACACATTTTCTAATTCTGTTATACATTATTTTCAGATTTTAAAAAGAAAAACTTGCTGAAATTTGTTTCCTTTTTAAAAATTAAAAATTAAGTAATAAGAAGATAAACAACAGTCAATTTTTGTTGACTTCTTTGTGTTCCGTGTGAAATGGTTCATGAACAATCATTTGAGTTTGTCCATTATTTTATCATAAAAACTGTGCTGTTCGTATTATTAGGTGATGAAGGAAATGACCCCTGTGACTGCTGTGACTCCTTTAGACCACCCTAAGCCCACAGCCAAGGCCCAGCCAAGCTACGTATCGCCTATCCCTGGGGTGGAGACCACAAATTCCACCAACACTGCCCGGTGGAGGAGGTAAGCTAGTGGATGCACCAATACTGGTCTCTACTGTTATACCTTATAGTTGCTGTCCTTACTTCATACTTAATGAGATGACTGGGAAAATTACACATCTTCTTACCACATTAAATAATGAACAGCTCTTTTTAACACACAAGAAACTAACACATGTTCAAAACATGCCAGACAAATTACACAATTGTCTTCTAAACACGCCAGACCTAGATATGGTAGAATCAAATACTCTTCATAGATGGAAGGGTCTTAAGGTGCTTTACCAAAATTGTGAATTTCTTGACCCTGGGGTCTCACGTTTCCCCCTGGGGAGGGGGTAAACTTTACTATAGTTTATATAGGGAAATCACATTTTGGACCAACATTTGTTTAATTTCCATTGGAAGTAATTCAATTTGGGTTAGCATTATCAGTATTAGGTAGCAGTTTGATAGTATGCACCTATGAGCCCTGACTGACCCCCAGGGGCTGATGGGTGGGGCCAAAAAGGGTTGAATTGACTGAAATTTCAAAAATCTTCTTCTCAAGACCCAGATATGGTAGAATCAAATACTCTTCATAGATGGAAGGGTCTTAAGGTGCTTTACCGAAATTGTGAATTTCTTGACCCTGGGGTCTCACGTTTCCCCCTGGGGAGGGGGTAAACTTTACTATAGTTTATATAGGGAAATCACATTTTGGACCAACATTTGTTTAATTTCCATTGGAAGTAATTCAATTTGGGTTAGCATTATCAGTATTAGGTAGCAGTTTGATAATAAGCACATATCAGCCCTGACTGACCCCCAGGGGCTGATGGGTGGGGCCAAAAAGGGTCGAATTTACTGAAATTTCAAAAATCTTCTTCTCAAGACCCAGATATGGTAGAATCAAATACTCTTCATAGATGGAAGGGTCTTAAGGTTTATGACCCTAGGGTCTCACGTTTACCCCCTGGGGAAGGAGGGGGGGGGGGGGGCAAAATTTATTATGGTTTATAATGGCAAATGATACTTTGAATATTACATGTTAATAACTTGATTGGAATTATAACCTTGAGTTGACAGTTTGATACTTTGAAAATTTTGAGCCAGCCCTACCCCCAAGGGCTGTAGGGTGGGGCTCAAAGGAGTCAGTGTGCTAAAATTTCTTCATTTTCCTTGTTTAGAATCAGAGGTGCTAGTTTCAAATACTTTTTAGTCTTAAATCTGTATGCTAGATATTGAATAAGGTGGTTTTATTGTTTTTTGTCACTTTGAATAATATTTCTGTTCATGTTAAAAACAAAATCAACTCTCTGTATAAATATATCAGGTGACCGTTAAGGCCCATGGGCCTCTTGTATATTCTAAACAAACAAAACAAAAAATCTGGTAATCAAATACAATTATGATAAGAAATAAAGTAATTAAGCTGTGAGGATGCTTTAAAAAATATTTAATTTGTAAATCAAGAAGATGCTTGAGTTAGCTCTGACAATGATGTGTTTGTATGGCTGACATGGTGAAAAAAAGTAATGGTGTTGGTATAACTGACATCAAGTTGATGAACTGTTTTGGTGTTGACTAATGATATAATTGACACTGCAAACACTGTATTGAGGATGGTATAATTGACATTGTAAACACTGTATTGAGGATGGTATAACTGACATTGTATTAAACACTGTATTGCTGATGGTATGACTGATATTTTAAACACTGTATTGATAATGTTATGACTGATATTGTAAACACTGTATTGCTGATGGTATGACTGATATTTTAAACACTGTATTGATAATGTTATGACTGACATTGTAAACACTGTATTGAGGATGGTATAACTGACATTGTAAATACTGTATTGAGGATGGTATAACTGACATTGTAAACACTGTATTGATGATGGTATAAGTGACATTGTAAACACTGTATTGAGGATGGTATAACTGACATTGTAAACACTGCATTGATGGTGTTATAACTGACATTGTAAACACTGTATTGAGGATGGTATAACTGACATTGAAAACACTGTATTGATGGTGTTATAACTGACATTGGAAATACTGTATTGAGGATGGTATAACTGACATTGTAAATTCTGTATTGATGATGGTATAACTGACATTGTAAACTCTGTATTGATGGTGTTATAACTGACATTGTAAATACTGTATTGAGGATGGTATAACTGACATTGTAAACAGTGTATTGAGGATGGTATAACCGACATTGTAAACACTATATTGATGGTGGTATAACTGACATTGTAAACACTGTATTGATGATGGTATAACTTACATTGTAAATACTACATTGATGATGGTATGACTGACCTGGTAAACACCACGACAACCTTTACTTACAATGTAAACAAGCCGTGTTGGTATGTTTTAGACCCAGTGAGCTGGAGAATTGTGTACAGAGGGAGCTGAGTCGACTAGAACAACAAGCTTTAAAGGCCGACACAGAGAATGAGTTCTTGGCATGTGAGCTAAAGGCTGTCGAGTTACAGATATCACTGGTACGGTACTACTGTCTTCTAAAGACTACTGAGATATCACTGTTATGACAGTACTGCATATTGTGGTAACATGAATCTTTCAAACCAGAGCTTCAAATTAAGCACTGATCAGTACAGCCAATGCTATGTAGGGATACATACTGAATAATTCTGGTTATTCCTCTTCTCCTTGTTCTTCTAATAAATATTCTTGACAAGGCCATTTATTTCAAACTGAAGACAGATATTGTGGAGAAACTTCAAGTACAACTGCATCACCAACGAAGAGGTGTGCATTGCACTGTAATTAAGTAACCATGGCCTTCACCTCAAGGCTCACCTCAAGGCCAATTATCAAACTATTAAAATGTGAAAAATATCTTTATGAAAATCCTGCATCTCCTGATGAAGGTTCAGTGGACTGCAGTTATGTTACTATGACCTTGACTTCAAGGTCAAAGATCAAATAAGTGCAAATTTTCCAGTGAAATCTTAAGTAAATCTTGCCTTTCTACCATTTTGAAACTTGAAGTTAACTTGCATCACTCACAGAGGATGTACAATGCACTAAATTAAGGTTACAATGATCTTCACCCTGAGGTCAAAAGTCAAATAAGTGCAAAGAAAACATGCACATATTGGCTGAGAACAGGAGACATAGTTGTTTTTTTACAAAAATATCTCTGTAGTCTGATGTTATTTTTCCTTGCATGGTAGAAAATATATTTCCAGGTTGTGTATGATCACTGTATGCATTAAGATTAGAAAAGGTAGAAAAGAATTACTTTTTGATGATTTGTTAAACTTCTAAATAATTATGCCCCCTCCAAAAACCAGCCATGATATTTTATCCAATATATGGCTGCAGATTTTGGGGAGTTTCACTGCATATAAAATTTCTTTTTCACAAATGTTCTCAACAAGTGTGAAGTTATATAGTGTTCCATGACTGATTGCCTAATAGCATGAGTTAGATTGATCTTGATATCTTGATTCTTCAGCAAACTGAGAAAAATGTGCCACAACCTGTCCCAGAGACGCCAATCCTAAACCCAGAGTCACATCCCGAGGTTGAGGTGGTTGTCCCAGTTCCTACTGCTGTCCCTGTAAAGACAGACAGTCCACACAACCCTCCTGGTATCTGGAGCAGCTTTGAACTTCTTAAGGCTGCATACACACGTGGACAGGTAAGTTGGTCAAATCTTGATTACACCTGAAAGTCTAGGTAGGTAGCCACTTTCTAGTTCGTGACTTTGGGTTATATGCAGTTTATTTGTACAGTAAATGTACCCTTGTTTTAGAACAAGTTTTGTTATCTTATTCATTGATTGGAGTGGACATTGGCCAGTTCGCCTGTGATCTTCTCTTTAATACAAACTTGCTTGGAAAGGCCACTTCTGTAGAAATGATGTGTTATGATTATAAAAAAAAGTGATTTGTTTTCTTTTAGGTTTACTTTGAAATTTAAGATAGCAACGTTAACATGGCCACTCGAGAAACTTTCTCTCAAAAGTTGTTATTCAGATCAGGACCAACACATGACTTATTATTGGTTTAGGTAGGTAACCGATTATTGTGCATTGCGCATAATAGGCTTTGAAAAGTTACAACACTTGGTTGTGTTAAACATATCTAATCTATGCCAAACAGAAGAGAATGTGTAGGTGTTGTTCAATGTTTTCTTCAATGATTGTGGTCCACAGAAGATTGATGACTTGCAAGAACTGTTAAAACATGTACCTGTGGGATTGGACCATCCCAGTGGACCGCTCACTCCACAGGAGGAGCAGTTTCTGAAAGATGTCCTTGGTGGTGAAAACTCGAGCAGTGTGAACTTCCAAGCCTGAGATACTCTTTGTGCTATATAAACAAGTGTAAGTTAAATGTCAGGTTGCTTCCACAGTGAAAGGAATATTCAAGAAATTAGGATACAAGGGGAGCTGCAGGGAGACACTTTTTAGTGACCCTCGCCTTCTGCAATTATTTTATTTCCTATGGGCTACTGTGTAGCAGTTAACAATTATTTAAGGACACCAACAATCTATGTTGTCAACTGTTAATGCTTCCTTCTTCTCCCTCCATCCCCACATCAATATTCATACAAATATAGTAGTCCATGAGATGGAAAACCAAGGCGGGGTCAAGCAGTATACATCTCGGTGTCTGAAGTGAGTTGTAGCTTGGCAGGGAATTGAATTCATTGTTCAAATTAAAGTATACTTGATGAAAGGTTAGTGTTAGATTGAATTTTTTTTTCCTTTTTATTCTAATGATTCAAAATAGTAATTAAATATCACAATTACACACAAAAAATGTAACGTGATGGGTAATTGAAATAATGAAATGATGGTTGTTTACAGATGGCAGCTGGTGAAGTTTTCTCATTGGGACCATACACTTCAGATGGAAAAGAAGGAGCCAAAGGAAAGCATATAGAAATATGAAGTTCTCTGTGTAAAGTTCTATTTTGGACCCTAATTGGTATATGTGTGCTTATGTTGCTAAGATAGTGATCCCAACACCATCCTATCCATGCCAGATATTGATACATATACGTGTATCTGTAAATTGCTTTAAAATTTTGTGAATTGTTCTCAAAATCTTAAGTGATTATCTGTTATCACATCTACATTTAGATGACTAATGGTATGATTTGAAGGAATGAAAATGTGTCTGTTGATTTCCTAGTTAAGTTTGAAAGAACACAGTTGTTTATTACTTTTTATGTCACTTTTGTAATTTTTTGGATTTTTGGATTTATTTTTGCTTGTAGTTTGACGCTCGTGAATTATTTTGTGGTGAACATCACAAAATGATGTATTATTTGATGTTTTTTGTGGATGTACATGATGCTTTTAGGGATTTTTTCTCAGATTTCTCCAAAAGATATGTTGTCATTTACTTGTGTAGAAAGGGTTCAGACCCCAAATCACACATCCTGAGGTATAAATTCTGTCTCCCCAATATCTACATATCATAGACTATAGGTCATAGAGTTAAGAACATTTACAGTGTATATGGCTAGAAATCTGGTTTTATAAACCAGTTGATCATCTCAAATATACAGTTTTGTGATCCTGTCGATAGACAAGTTTGAGTCTGTCGAACACACTGTAATGGAAACCTAATGTGGGGAATAGCTTTCTTTATAATGGAAACCTGCTTATAGACACAATTCTGCACAAGGAGAATAGATGATATATAGAGGATCTGACACGAGTATTCATGTAATATTGAATTTATTGAACGAGTTTATTAATTTCATATGAAATTAATAAACAAGTTTAATAAATTCAATATAACATGAACACAAGTGTTTAGATTCTATTTATTATATAATTTGAGAAACACTCTTTTTCTTGACACATCTTCTCTATATAAATTGTACCGATGACTAACGAAAGGACACATTACATGTATTTTGTTTGGAGCTCGCTGTGCCACAAAAAATAGTTTCAGAAACCTCTTCCTGAGAACCTTTTCAATGAACAAACAATCATTTAGGGTTTCATCATCAACCAATGTTTTAATAATTATCATAACAACATTAATGATCATTTTTTATACGAAATCCATTCAACAAATTGGCGTTTACGAAAATAGCAGTGACGTCACATATTTGGCACAGCGGCGCGTGCATTGTCAAGGTAAAGGTCATCACAATACACATCGAAGTCTGCACTTTTTAAAAGTTTACAGGGGCTGGAGTGATTGTCACTCTCTATAACACAAGCGCATTTCTTTGGAGAGGGTTGTTGGTGAATGTGAACCTCGATGTTTCCGCCTATCACCGAGCCAGAAATTATACTGTGGAATCCGCCATGAAACTGGAACACTGATGAAGTTGACTGGTTACACGTGTTCGCCATTGATTGTGTGTATGTTGGAGAAGTTCAAGTGGAATTTGAACAGGCAGGTGTTGAATTTGTGTGAAGCTAACACTCGTGTTTATATAATATTGAATTTATTTAACTCGTTTGTTAATTTTATTCTACCAGTGCCCCTGACTCTGCTATCAATGCAAACAGTAACTCGGTCAGCCATTTTGTTTACAAACGTAGAAGTTGTAGTGCGTAGGAATATGACCTGTTTTCCACGGTGACAAAACGCATTTGCATGTTTATTGTACGTGTGCTATATTGTTTATATTGAATGGCAATATTGCACGGAAATAGCCTGTATTACATAATAAAATGAATTATTAGGACACTACTTGATCTATAGTCAAGCACAACAATCTCAATATCAGTATTTTGGAGCAGCATTCTGCATTGTGATATATTCCATCTGAAGAAAATAACAACAATATGAAATTATCAATATTATTGTATGTCACTTACAATATGATTGATGTAACAGATGGACTTAATCATCATTGTTTGCTTGAATTCTCAGATTAAACATATATATGTATGTTGTGTTGTTTCACAGGATTAGTAGGTTGTAGCACAACACTTTTATAGGTTCCAACTGAGCTATGAGTGTTCATTAAATAAAGCCGTTTTGATATGGAAAATTTTAATTTTATGCCATATAATCAGTTTGAGGAACTTATTGCTTAAAATCCATTATATACTCTAGCTTATTAACAATACAATTTGTTTTTGTTTCATTAAAAGCATAAGTTGCACTACAATGTATTTTTATTGCATTATATGTATTTTTTGCTTTTATCGCATCAGCTTATACTTATATTGACATTAACTGAAAACCTATATAGTAGCTGTTCATGACTACAAAAAGAAAACTTAAGTTTTTCTATTCCTTAAGAAGAAAACTACTTGGCATACGGTTTTGTAAAAGTTTGGTTGCAGTCTCATGAATGGTATTTCAGGCTGTTTCATGAATAATGAACATCAATCCAGAAATCTTGCTTTTCAATGTAAGCTTCATACATTGTATGTATGTTTGTGTAGATTTACTTTTTGTGTTTCAACAAAAGGTATAATATTAAGTTTTCCTTAAATTACTATTTAAAGTGATTGGAAAGGTAAGTTTTGCCATAATCCATGGTATTGATCTGAGCTTATGGAAAAAATAGTCTTTTTATAAATCATATACACTAGCAGTAAAACCTGAAGTTAATTTTGGCTTGCTGACCAAGTGCTGTCTCATTAATCAGTAACGGAAATTCACTTGAGCCAGTTATGTAACAAGTGACGATAATTACATTTTGTGCTCACTGCTTTTTGTCAATATTTTACTGGTTTTAAATGAAAGATCATTGTTATTCGTCATGTTCCCTTTTGTAATGCATTACAACAAGAAAGCTTTAAAATACTGAAAATCAAACCTGTACATCAGTCAAACTTCGTTTCGATCTTTGCTGGACCATCGAGTAAAAAATTAAAGCATCAGGATTTCAACTCGCAAATGTTGAACATCCAACCTCATTGAGAACCAGTACACAACACAATGTGATCCTTAAATAACGCAGTAATATGAACAACACGTGTATTTATATATATTGTAGTTTATGTGATCTAAATGAATTCAACGTTTCTTTGCTTGTCAATTAAATTAAATTTCTGAAGCCTGTCGATTTAATAGTTGTAATTTTCAATGTTTTCACAAAAAACAGATCTTGATTATACTTCGCAACAGTGAGAAATTTGACTATTAAAAGTTCAATTCATGAATAAAAAAGAAGTATTTTTAAGGAAAAGGAATAATCTTTTGTAAGTTTGACACATCAAGATATTTGAAACCTTTGAAGTTCGATTTTAGAAGTTTGACTATGTGTTATTTTGAAAAGATAAGAATAAAAAGAACTCTGGTCAATACCATGAACAAATTTGGCTGACTGTGGTTTAAGGAGGAATGATGATGTTTAATTATACATGTTAAATATGTATATGGGAAGAAAGAATACAGTTTATCATAAGACTGGCTTACTCTTAGCCTAGTATAACATCATGTTGGTACGTTTACCGTAGTGGAGTTATAGTCCATGTTTATAAGAGGGTCAAGGTAAAAAGTGAATCACTTCAGAGCTTGAAATTAATGTGAATGAAGTCGCTCATGTCATTTCACGTATTATAAGGCCTAGTTTTGTGTCCAATCTGTTCTTGCATACAGATATAAATTAGTTTTCATGAAAATGAAGTGACTTGTAGTGGAATGGTGTGTGGAGTATGGAGCTTATAGGAGCTGTTTTTAAAGATATACTAAACAGAACCAGGTCTTGTTGAGTTGTGAAAATGTAGACATGTCGACTTCATTGTTTCCTCAATATTTGTCTGGAAACACATTTTCATCAAGTGTATATATCTATTAGATCACATTCTATTGAATAGGTTTTTCTCTGAACTGAAAGTTCAATAATTGGTCTTTGTAAATTAATTTTCAAAATAAAAGCACTAAAGCAAAAGCCATGTCTTGAGCTTAACAGATTTTATTTAAAAAAATTGAAACTTGTCTAGTTTTTCATTTTAATCTATAACCTTTGAACTTTTTATCTTTCATGTGCTGCTTTTTGGAAAAGATATACAGTAACTGTTGTACATGTATTAGGAGATTATGAAGTATGTTACTTTATGTAGTTTAGTAATAAGAATATTAAGTATTTAACATTATCTATCGATAATTAGTTGAGCTACAGTTTGATAAATATGTTTATTTTATTATGTGAATGTCTGCATCAGACTTTGATATCAGTATAAATAATACCATATAATTGGATTTTTTCCCTTTTGAATGGAAACTAAGGGTTTTTTAATGTGGAGGATTTTTAAAAAACTCTTTACAATGGAAATGGTTCATGTTGAAATTCAATACTATTTCTATACAATTTCATTTTATGATATTTTCCTGAAGTGGCAAGCTTAATTGATTCAAGTAAAATATCTTCAGCAAAACACTTTATAAAGTGCAATTAGATAAGGAGGATCGTTCAACCATTTTACTTCAATACTAAGGGAAAGGGGGGGGGGGGGGGGGGGGGATTGTAATTTGTATTAAAGTTGTCCACTTGTATGTGTTTCACTATGTAGAAACACACATGTATGTTCTGTATTAACAAGTTTTCCTTTTCATTATGAGTGCTCCAGTGTAATTAAAATGTTTACTTTAATCACTTGTTTGTTGTTATTTTTCTTCTTTATTGCAATACATTTGATTAGCAGGCATTTAAAGCAGGTTTACCCAAGACTTTGAAACATACTTTACAGTAGTTGGAAGGAGTATGAAGTGCAGATCAATTGCCTCTGGTCTCCATCAAACAATTGCCTCTAGTCTCCAAGCGATTGCCTCTGGTCTCCATCAAACAATTGCTTTTACTCTCCAAGCAATTGCCACTGGTCTCAATCAAGCCATCGCCACTGGTCTCCAAGCAGTTGCCACTGGTCTCCATCAAGCAATTGCCACTTGTTTACATCAAACAATTGCCTCTAGTCTCCAAGCTATTGCCACTGGTCTCAATCAAGCAATTGCCACTGGTTTCCAAGCAGTTGCCACTGGTCTCCATCAAGCAATTGTCACCTGGTCTCCATCAAGCAATTGCCTCTGGTCTCCATCAAACAATCGTCACATGGTCTCCATCAAGCAATTGCCTCTGGTCTCCATCAAACAATTGCCTCTAGTCTCCAAGCAATTGCCTCTGGTCTCCATCAAACAATTGTCACATGGTCTCCATCAAGCAATTGCCTCTGGTCTCCTAGCAATTACCACTGGTCTCAATCAAGCAATTGCCTCTAGTCTCCAAGCAATTGCCACTGGTCTCAATCAAGCAATTGCGGCTAATCTCCAAGCAATTGCCACTGGTCTCCATCAAGCAATTGCTTCTGGTCTCCATCAAACAATTGTCACTGGTGTCCAAACAATTGCCACTGGTCTCCATCAAGCAATTGTCACCTGGCCTCCATCAAGCAATTGCCTCTGTCTCCTATCAATTGCCACTGGAGTGCCAATGGTCTCCATCACGCAATTACCTCTGGTCTCCATCAAACAATGGTCACTGGTCTCCAAACAATTGCCGCTGGTCTCCATCAAGCAATTATCCCTAGTCTCCACCAAGCAATTGTCACCTGGTCTCCATCAAGCAATTGCCTCTGGTCTCCTAGCAATTGCCACTGGTCTCAATCAAGCAATTGCGGCTAATCTCCAAGCAATTGCCACTGGTCTCCATCAAGCAATTGCTTCTGGTCTCCATCAAACAATTGTCACTGGTGTCCAAACAATTGCCACTGGTCTCCATCAAGCAATTGCTTCTGGTCTCCATCAAACAATTGTCACTGGTTTCCATCAAACAATTGCCTCTAGTCTCCAAGCA